CTATAAATAAAGTTTCATTTCAGTTTCATTTCATTTTTAGAAATACAGTACATCATTTTGTGACATAGTAATTCAATTTTATTAGTAAAATGGAGGTGAAACCAACCTCTTAATTAGAGATATATATATTATTGTTGGCATTGAATGTTTGCTATTGTGAATTTTGTTGTGAGCCAGGCCTGTGTATGTACATATACACATGCACACACGCATACAAAATGGTGCTCCATGTAGTCATGCTGGCCACATGACCTTGGAGGTGTCTACGGACAATGCCAGCTCTTCGGCTTAGAAGTGGAGATGAGCACCAACCCCCAGAGTCGGACACAACTGGACTGTCAGGGGAAAACTTTTACCTTTACCTTACATACAATACTGCAATTTGTAGAGACATAACATAACTCATGAAAACTTTTCATTTATATATTTAAATATATATGATTTATTTTTTATTTCACACGGACTCATTATGTTCATGCAACACACCTACACACTGCAGCTGACACACTACTGTGTTGTGACACATATTTTGGAATGCTTTGCTCTAAAGCATCAACATCTTTTAACTTTCAAGAATTCAACCAATGTAAAATATCTCTGAGCATATGTAAGCTTCCCTCATTTCACTTCTGAGAATCCAATTTAAGGGCTCCTGTAATTAAGTACAGGCAGTCCCCAAGTTACAAACATCTGAATTACAAATGACTCCTGGTTACAAATGGAGGTGATACAACAGGAGAGAAATATATCTCTTGGAAGGGAAGTTCACTCCTGGAAGAGTTATGGGGCAAAGGTGTCTCCACTGAAACTTAATCACCAATTCGTGTTTCCACAACAAGCCAATTTTTTCAAAATCCAATTATCACAGGAACTGAAAGTGAACAGGAACACAGACAGCAAAACAAACAACACAGGGATGTTAACCCTTCCCTATGCTATCCAAAACTTGCAGATGTGTGTGTGTCTGTGTGGAACCCCTGGTGGCACAGTGGGTTAAACCGCTGAGCTGCTAAACTTGTTGACCAAAAGGTCGCAGGTTCAAATTCAGGGAGCGGTGTGAGCTCCTGCTGTCAGCTACAGCTTCTGCCAACCTAGTAATTTGAAAGCATGCAAATGTGAGTAGATCACATTTGCAGGAAGATAATGGCGCTCTATGCAGTTATGCTGGCCACATGACCTTGGAGGTGTCTATGGACAACACTGACTCTTCAGCTTAGAAATGGGATGAGCACAAACCCCCAGAGTCAGACACGACTGGACTCAATGTCAGAGGAAAACCTTTACCTTTACTGTGTATTTGTGTGTGTGTGTGTGTGTGTGTGTGTGTGTGTATGAAGTTACACTCAAGAAAAGTATCTGTTCCAACTTACATACATATTCAACTTAGGAACAAATCTATCTTGGGGACTACCTGTCTGTATGTGTTAACAGTCTATCTTCTTTCCTATTTTTGGATGGATTTCTTGGGTTCCTTGTCCTGTAGTACATTTAAGGCAATTATTCCTGTTTCTACCAGAAACTCATGCTGCACTAACCCATAACATTTTAATAGTACAAATGCCAAATATTCCAAAATGTAACTACAAGATCTTTATCCCACACATTGGGGTTCCTTGTGAAGTTCAAGATTTTACATCTAAGATGAGTTATCCCAGGGAGCAGTCCTTACTAAGACACAACATGTGACAAAATGACAGGGAGGGTGCATTTGACTGAGAGGGAAGTTCTGTCTAATTTAGTTGTCCAGCAGTACCAGAAAAGATCAGAAACATCCTGGCAGCACTTGAGTTGAAGTCCCACTGCAAAAAATGTCTCTTTTCACCATTTGGCAAGAGGTGAATATGCCCATGGAGATGCAGTCTGAGACTTAAGATTACAACTCTTTTTCAATTGTTTTTGCTATCCTTAGAATCTACCGGGCAATGTGGAGAAGCTCTCTCAGATCCTTGGAAAGAACCTGAACAGCCAGCAGATAAACGCTGTGGTAGAAAATGCCTCTTTCCATAAGATGAAGGATAACAACATGTCCAACTTCACTCAGTCACCACTTTTCAATCAGAGCACAGGAAAGTTCATGAGGAAAGGTAGATATACAGTTAAAGCTTACTAAACATTGTCAAAGCCTGGGACACAATCTACTTTGTACCTGAATCCTGAAGTATAGTTTGGTAGGTGCTGAGAATAGTATGTGACAGGCATGGTACTGCTTTTGGACTTCTTCCTAACTGCTTGCCCAATGCAATTATGTATTGCAATTCAAAGAGTTGCTGCAACATGAGAAAAAATAAGATATAATATGTGCCCACTTTCCATGCCCCCTAGGTTGTATAATCTATTGGTCTTTGATCTCTTGCATCATGAGGTCATTTGCAGGCCCTGGATGATACCCCGATCAAAGGGAAACACCCATAAGTAATCAGTTAACTGCTCCTCTCCTCAATGACTAGTTTTTTTCCCCTCACTTTATTTAATGGTAGGGCTGGTGTAACAGATGAGACTTAGTTGAGAATTGTATGAGAGAGAGATTACTTTTAAACACCTGTTTATATCACTCTTAATGTTATTTTGATAATATTGTTGTTGTTTGCTGTATATGTTTTGATTTTATTGCTGTATTATGTTGTCCGGGCTTGGCCCCATGTAAACCGCTCCGAGTCCCCATCGGGGAGATGGTGGCGGGATAGAAATAAAAATTATTATTATTATTATTATTATTATTATTATTATTATTATTATTATTTAATATGTGCAACCCAGCGCCATAAAACCATCCTCAGTTCCACAAGATCTTCAGTTTTTTCTTTCCTGGAGTTCCTTTTCTTTAATAAGTAGACACAACTCTCAGTATTTTGAACTGAACAGAAACAACATTTATTTAAAGGTTTCTCAAGTTCATACCAGCTTGATGGTTACACATTATATCCTTATTGTCGCTACACTTAAATCTTCAGAAAACATGAAACTGTTACTGTGAAACTTTTAACAATATCTTATATTCTCTCTCCTGAATGTTTGTTATTTCTTTTCTTTTAAGACTTAGTTTCCTTCCTCAGTCCCACTTTTATTGCTTCAGGTTTGACACTGAAGTCATAAATAAAACAACCGGGAATCTCTTTCTTCTAGCACCCAGGCTAGATCATACTACAGAGTTAAATACTTCTATTTTTATTTACTCTACACTGAAGATTAAACGCTTGGCTCACTACCTGGAGCCACCTTTTTCTTCTGACTACCTGTCAGAGACCTAAACTGCTTGGTCTAGCTCCACACAACTAGAACCAACCATCCCTTGGCTCATCTAGCCACCAACTGACACTTTTTGAACTGTGTTCTTTTTCTTAGTGGCAGTTAACTCCGCCCCCTCCTCTTCTACCTGGAGGGCTATGTCGCTAGGGCAACGCCCTAGCTCAGGCCACCCATCAGCTGGCCTGCACCTACTGTGCTGGTACGGCTGTACCAGGAGCTCCAACTTTCTTTTCTTTCATTGAGTGTTTGCATGTATTCCAAAGTTCCATGCATTTTGCAATAAGGTGGCTTCCCTTGGTTTGCAATTATAAGGCCAATGACCCATCAATTATCATTATTTTTTAGCTCCGCCCCTTTCCCCAGGGTTCAGGAAGGAAAGGGAGCCATTTTAGCTCAGTCTTACAGTTGAAAGCTTAGCTACAGGACGTGAAACAGCTCCACCTGTAGAGAAGCTTAGTTTCTTATGAAATTCCGGGGGAAAACAGTTCCAAAGGATTCCAGCTGGAGAATCTACAAAGCCTTGAGTGGTAGGTCTACTCGAGACCCAAAAAGCAGTTTGGAGCCGGGAGTAGAGCCCACACCAGCAAAGTTTAGAAAGTAGATTGCCCAAGGAGGGGTTAAAAAGGGTTTTCCTCTTAAAGAAAAGAAACAGTTCACGAAGCCAGTTGCCTGTCCCTTGTGGACAAGATTAAGAAAGCCACCAGTTGATTCAAAGCCTTGAAGTATTTGTTTGACTTGTTGAAGATCTGAGAAGTATTTGATTGTTTTGTTGAAGACCTAAGCAATAATAAAGGACCTTATTAAACTTTTCAAGCTTCTAAAGACTTTGTGTAGGAAAATCCTTAGGGCCTCTCAGCTGAGGCACCCCGGCTTCCCACTGGGCACAAAGAGCACGTCCTGTTCAAATGCCAATTGCTATAGGCCCAGCATGTGACAGCACACCTACATTACAATATCAATAAACATATGTAAAACCTTATATCATAATATCAATAAACATATGCAAAACCTACATTCTAATTAGACATTTCGTTACAGCTGGCTATTAGAGGGGCCTTCTTTTCACTGTGTTGATCTAATGTTCTGTGTGTATTAACTCTTCCCTTCTATGATGTTCCAGGGATCTCTGGTGATTGGAAGAACCACCTGACCGTGGCCCAGAATGAATACTTTGACCGTGTGTATCAGGAGAAAATGCAGGACATAAAGACAATCCCAGTATGGGAGTGAAGAATACCAGATGTTCTGTATGCAAACATTCTTATCTCTCCAAGGTTTTGGGCATCATGATAGTAAATATAAGAAGCTTATTCAAAAGTTTTTTTTATTGCTGTAGAACAAATTACTCCAAGATATCAGCAAATAAAAGGAGGCATTATGTTTTGAATAGTAGAAAAGCCTAAAGGTTAATACTGTGCTATATTCTGAATGGTTAGCCTAAAGGGTTAGCACTGTCCCATGATTTATCATTGATATATCATAGATTGAAACCACTGTTGAAATCCTGCATCAAAAATGGGATGTTAAAATCTATACCTTGTCTTCCATCTCTCCTTCCTCGAAACCCACCTTTTTCATCCTGCCCCACTCTTTTTTGATGTGCCATGGGCTGCTGCTGTAGAAAGATGCTGGCTAATGCCTCTGGGTACAAATCAAATGACAACATCGTCCTTTGAAATCTTGCAGAAGATGCCCAACAACCTCTCTAGAGTTGTTTAATTATCACCTTGGATATTCACAAATTAAATAAAACTAAACTCACAACATTTATTCATTTTTGTTGTCAACGATCATTGTCTCATTCTGCCCATTCCCGTTGTCTTTTCTTCTACACTGCTATGTCATGCAGCTTCAGGATGCAGACTAACTGCATTGAGCTGGATTAGATGAGTCTACACAGCATTCTGAAATGTAGATCTGGCCAGTAATTCAGTTTCACTAGGAAACAAGATTAAACCGACTTCTTATAAAAGAAGTTAAACATGAGCCAACAATGTGATGTGGTGGCAAAAAAAGCCAATGGGATTTTGGCCTGCATCAAGAGGAGCATAGTGTCTAGATCTAGGGAAGTAATGCTACCCCTCTATTCAGGCCCGTAGCCAGGATTTCGTTTCGGGGGGGGGGGGGAATTTTTTTCAGGGGGCGGGGGGGGGGGATTTTGGGGGGGCTGAGTTTCAGAGGTGGGGCCTGAGTCTGAGTGAAAACCTAGCAAACCTTTTGTATCATTATCCCAATACCCCCATGCATATGGGATATATTGAGTATGATGATCAGATCATGATATGAATAAACATAAGAGTTTAAATAATGCACCAGTAAGGCCTTTTTGTGAACCACCATGAGAATTTCAGGGGGGCTGAAGCCCCTCAAGCCCCTCCCCCCATGGCTACATGCCTGGAGCCTCTATTCTGCTTTGGTTAGACCACACTTGGAATATTGAGTCCAATTCTGGGTACCACAATTCAAGAGAGATATTGACAAGCTGGAATGTGTCCAGAGGAGGGAGACTAAAATGATCAAGGGTCTGTAGTTTGAAGCCATTGTTCCACGTCCTAATCTCCAGGGAAGCAGAAAACAAGCTTGCTCCCTCCTCCCTGTGGCTTCCTCTCACATATTTATACATGGCTATCATATCTCCTCTCAGCCTTCTCTTCTTCAGGCTGGAAACAAGCCCTATGAGGAGCGGCTTAAGGAGCTGGGCATGTTTAGCCTGAAGAAGAGAAGGCTGAGAGGAGATATTATAGCCATGTATAAATATGTGAGAGGAAGCCACAGGGAGGAGAGAGCAAGACTAGGACACAGAACAATAGCTTCAAACTACAGGAAAAGAGATTCCACCTGAACATGAGGAAGAACTTCCTGACTGTGAGAGCTGTTCAGCAGTGGAACTCTCTACCCCGGAGTGTGGTGGAGACTTCTTCTTTGGAGGTTTTAGTTCTAAACAGGAAAGCTAACATGAACAACATGTTGCTTCTTTGGCAATGGCAATGCAAAATGACTGTAACATTGCATCTGTTTCTGTAGGACAGCTACAACAGGACTTGTTTCGTAGAATCAGAGAGTTGGAAGAGACCTCATGGGCCCTCCAGTCCAACCCTCCACCAAAATAACATTTAAAACACCTCCAACTGATGGCCATTCCAGCTTGTCAATATCTCTCTTCAACTGGGGTGCCCAGAATGGGACACAGTATTCCAGGTGTGATCTAACCAAGGCAGAATACAGGGGTAGCATGACTTCCCTGGATCTAGCCCAAAATCCCATTGACTCTAAGATCAAAGGGTAGTTATTTTTCCAATCAAGTTCAAAGTATCCATCTCCACAGGTGATATGCTGTAAGTCTAATATTTTATATCTGGCCCAATGGTACCATGTTCCCCCCTCCCTTGGAAATTTGCACTTTCTGAGCAGAAATGTTATTTTCTACACATAAAGTGTGATGTTCTGCAGAGAAAGGCTTCTTTTCAGAAAACATATCATATTAGACTACTCCAGAAAATATATCACATTATAAGGATTTTTAATAGCATGGAGCTGTTTGATTAAATTATCTCTTTTTTCCCATGAGAATGAAATTAACCAGTTTTTACCTTTGTACTGAGATAAGAAACCTGTTGAGCATGTTGTACCTTAGCTTAAAACTCTGCCCTAGAACTACTTAATGCCACAGAAAAGAGCCACTGAAGTTGCATGAGAACAACAGTTGTTGTTTCCTCTGGGCTGCCATATTGTACTCAAAGCCCCTAAACAATTCTGGCCCAGTTTACTTGTCTGAACGTATCTCCTTCTATGACTACCTCGGGGTCAACGATCATCAGGGGAAGCCCTGCTCTCGATCCCACCATGCTTGCAAGTGTGACTGACAGAGATGAGAGACAGGGCCTTCTCGGTAGTGGCCACTCATCTGTGGAATGCATTCCCCAGTGAAATCAGGTCAACTCCATCTCGCCTCTCCTTCAGAAAAAAACCTCAAGTCTTGGCTCTGGGACCAAACATTCAAGCAGCTGGCTGAGCAACAACAGTAATGACTTATTGTATTTAATTTTATTTATTTATTTATTTATTTATTTATTTATTTCGAGTGCTTCTACCCCGCCCTTCTCAATCCCCTAGGGGGGACTCAGGGTGGCTTACAGAAGGCACAATTCGATGCCCAACAGTTCACAAAATACAATATACAAAATACAATATAACAACAACAGTTATAACTACCGTATATTTCGGCATATAAGACGACTGGGCGTATAAGACGACCCCCAACTTTTCCAATTAAAATATAGAGTTTGGGATATACTTGCCGTATAAGACCACCCCTCTTCCATCGCACACCGAATAAAAATAAAAAATAAAAACATCAGATTTGATTTCAAATCCAAGACTATCAAAGCAGTATCCAGCTCTTCAGCTTAGAAATGGAGATGAGCGCCAACCCCCAGAGCCGGACACGACTGGACTTAACGTCAGGAGAAAACCTTTACCTCACCTGTAAACTCCTGTATGTTTGTTATTTATTTAACAGTTGTGGGTCCATGGAGCATAATAAAGTTCTATAAATTTCTATCTTACCTTGCCTAGGGTGAGACCAGAGCTGGGTCCAATGTCCTTTCCCCAACAACAACAATAATGGAAACCTAGAATTGGAAGGGACTCCAATGGCCATCCAGTCTAACCCTAATTCTGCCAGACAGAAACACATGTCCAAGCCCTCCCGACAGGTGGCCATCCTGTTCTACTTAATAACAGAAATAATAACAATAATAATAATAGAACCTTAGTGTTGGAAGGGACCTCAATGACCGTTCAGTCCAACCCCATTCCTGCCCAGGTGGCCATCCTGTTCTACTTAATAACAGAAATAATAATAACAATAATAATAGAACCTTAGTGTTGGAAGGGACCTCAATGACCGTTCAGTCCAACCCCATTCCTGCCAGGCAGGAAGACACAATGCAAGCCCCCCCAACAGGTGGCCATCCAGTTCTAGTTATCATATATACTCGAATATAAGCTGACCCGAATATAAGCCGAGGCACCTAATTTTACCACCAAAAACTGGGGAAACGTATTGACTCGAGTATAATTCAGGGGAGGGAAATGCAGCAGATACTGGTAAGCTGAGGGGACAGAAGTTGCCTTAAAGCCACCCAACACTTGAGAAGATTTTGCACTGCAGCCAGGTATTTCCAAGGTCATGCCCAAAGGGCTTGATGAATATACCCTTTTTGAGATGGATCTAAATCAGGCATGGGCAAACTGTAGCCCTCCAGGTGCTTTGGACTTCAACTCCCACAATTCCTAACAGTCAGTATTTGAGAACACAGAAATGCTGGACCACTCTCACAACCACCATGTCAGACTCCACAGAAAAGCCATTGAAATCCACAAGAAGCATGTGGACAATTTCAACAGAAAGGAAGAGACCATGAAAATGAACAAAATCTGGCTACCAGTATTTTTAAAAACCCCTCTAAAATCAGGACAGTAAATAAAAAACAAAACTCAAAAAGCAGGGGAAATTCAGACAATACAAAATCAGGACCAGCTAACACCTCCCAACAAAGAATTCCCCCAGGCAGGAAGCAGCCAGGCTTTGAAGCTGCAAGGCCATTCAATGCTAATCAACAACATTCCCACTTGGCAACATTCCCACTTGCCTCAAGCAGACAAGAGTTCTTTCTCCCACCCTGGACTTTCCACAGATATATTGCCAAGTTTCCAACAGACCTCACAACCTCCGAGGATGCCTGCCATAGATCTGGGCAAAACATCAGGAGAGGAAACTTCTGGAACATGGCTATACAGTCTGGAAAACTCACAGCAACCCAGCCAGTAGGCTGTTAGGAATTGTGGGAGTTGAAATCCAGAACCCCTGGAGGGCCAAAGCCTGATCTAAATGCAACTTTTGGAATGTGTCCAGAGGAGAGCGACTAAAATGATCAAGGGTCTGGAGAACAAGCCCTATGAGGAGCAGCTAAAGGAGCTGGGCATGTTTAGCCTGAAGAAGAGAAGGCTGAGAGGAGATATGATAGCCATGTATAAATATGTGAGAGGAAGCCACAGGGAGGAGGGAGCAAGCTTGTTTTCTGCTTCCTTGGAGACTAGGACGCAATGGAACCATGGCTTCAAACTACAGGAAAGGAGATTCCATCTGAACATGAGGAAGAACTTCCTGACTGTGAGAGCCGTTCAGCAGTGGAACTCTCTGCCCCAGAGTGTGGTGGAGGCTCCTTCTTTGGAAGCTTTTAAGCAGAGGCTGGATGGCCATCTGTCAGGGGTGATTTGAATGCAATATTCCTGCTTCTTGGCAGAATGGGGTTGGACTGGATGGCCCAGGAGGTCTCTTCCAACTCTTTGATTCTATGATTCTATGTGTTCATGATTTTCCCACTTAATACACACATTGTTGGCATGGCTGGAAATGAGTTAATTTCTCCTGCTATTAAAGAAAACATGTTCTGGATATGTCTCAAAAGCTAAACTATCTTGGAACATTTCTGTTATTTTTCCAGATGTATATCTGGTGATGTGAGTTTGTGCTCAAGAGAACTGAACCTTTTGTGTTTTTCTACAGTACTATTGATGTACCCTGAAGAAATGTAGGATGCTTCTCTACCAGGCATGGGCAAACTTTGCCTATGCCTGGTGTTAGGAATTGTGAGAGTTGAAATTAAAAACAATCTGATAGAAAACTGGGACTTGTAGTTTGGTATGGTACTGGCTCTCTTAAACAGGGAAGGCTAAGGACCTTGTAAAACTACAACTGCTGTGACTCCATGGCACTGAATCTGTGGCAGTTTTTTTGGAGGGCATTCCCCTTTAAGACTAGCTCGCCCCTCTCACTGGCGATTCCCCTCTAAGACAAGCTCGCTCTTGCAGAGGCTACCTAGCTCTTGGCTGCAGAAATGAAACAAAACGGGGGAAAGAGACCTTTTTCTTCCTCCCTTTGCAGGCTTTTAAAACTTTTTAAACTTAGCTGCTGAAATAAAGGAGAAGCTGAGCAAAGAGAAAGGAAAGAAACCCCAAAGAGGGAAGATGGATCAGGAGAAAGAAGTTTCTCCAGCAGGACTTTCTCGGAGGTGCCTTTGTTTTGACTCTTCTTGAGTAGCCTGCCTGTCTGGCTGCACTGTTTGAGGAAGGAGAGGAGAGGGAGAAAGAGGCCTGAGCTGGCCGGAAATGGGAGGCTTTGCTGCTTGGGGGGTGGAGGGCAGCCTCTTCTGCCCTTTTTTCCTCCAGGAGGAGGACGGGGAGGAGGAGCAGGAGCAGGAGCGGCAGGCCTGCCGAGGGTGGTGGCCAGCTGAGCTTGTGCAGGGGCAAGAGCAGCAGGCTGCGCTGCTTGGGGATGGCGAGGGGGGAGGAGGAGGAGGATCGGCAGGTCTGCCGGGAGTGCTGGCCAGCTGAGCTGCGATACCAGCAGGCTCCCTTTGGCCTCTCATGGCTGCTCGCGTCCCTCGCTCTCGGCATCCTCAAGTGGTGGAACTTATAGCCGGCACACAAGACGACCCCCCCCACTTTTAAGATGACTTTCTTGGCTTAGAAAGTCGTCTAGTATGCCGGTTTTTACGGTAGTTAAAACAGTCCAATTAATACAATATCAGCATTGTGAGAATTGTCAATAAAGAGACCTTGGACTGGAGCTCTGGACTATGATTTGGATTTGCAGACTCAGACTCAGTTGTGTTAATATTTTAAAGGCCATTATTTTTAATGTATTTAAATGTATTTTTACTGTTGTTGGCCTGTTTATGTTAATTGCTGTGCTGTAATTGTTCTTTGCCAGCATCTAATGGTTGCCAATTGTAAACCACCCTGAGTCCCCCTTCGGGGGTTGAGAAGGATAGGATATAAATGTTTTAAATAAATAAATAAATAAAATATGACCAACTTGGTTATGCCTTCCCCTAGCCTCCATACATCTGTGGAGTCATAATCCATATTGAGAGTGCCTTCCAAATGTAGGTCTGGACACCTGTATGAGCAGAGTGATTTACCCAACCATGAAGATACATGATCTCAGCCACCAGCACTATTCCTTCTTTCTCCCCATGAACACATCCCATTTTATCTGGACAACTCTGTATCTCTATCAACTACTGCCTGAAAGTATACGAGTATATCCCCTTTCCCTTCTCAAACTTCTGTGTGTATGTAATGTCTGTGTATTGAATCTGGAGCCAGATTGTTGGGATAAATAATAATAAATAAATAAATACATAATAAACTTTATTTATACCCCGCCACCATCTCCCCAATGAGAACTCAGGGCAGCTTATATGAGGCCAAGCCCAAACAACAAATTACAACAGAGCAAAACCAAAAACGCAAACCGAAAACGCAAACAATAAACAACAACATCGTAATTACCTAAAACATATGAATACATAATAATATAAAATTACAATAAGCACAATCACAGTGACAATCTGCGGGCTACATGTAATGATTAATAAAAAAACTAATTAAAAACTCGAGTGAGATAAGGAGAAGCAGGTTATTTGTGGAGGAGGGTCAATAGAAATAAAACACACCACACCAGACCACAAGTATAGAGGGAACCAAATGTATGCTGTTCTGTCAGCTGATGTATCCAAGGGAGAGATGGGCGTCTAAGGCTGTCAGCATGAATTTTATTGAGAGTAGCTGCATTTCCTGCATGCCATCCATATTATTTGAAGAACATTGTACAGAACTACTACCTGAATTTGTCCTTCTCGTCCCTTCCCTCACTGCTTTCTTGTTATATTTTTCATTGGTTAAAGTTTATTGATCAGTTGGCAGGCTCATGCAATATTATAAAAGGGGAGACCAAAGATCAAGGCAGTGGATGGAAGTGCATGAGACTGGCTGACAAACACATTCTGAGGTGAGTAGAGAGTTTTTGAGGGTCTGTATTTTTTAGGAATAAGATTTTCAGGTGCCTGTGGTCCATTGAATTCACACCAAAGGTATCTTCTTTCATTCAAAATGCCTTCAGTGTTCAAGGAGTTCCCTGGAACATTTAAACTGAGACAAATGCCTTAGCAGCTGGCTTATTAGCTTTAGATATATTTAAAGCTTTTGATAGTGTATCTTGGCCTGCTTTAAAAATGATCTTGGAGAAATTTGAATTTGGAGAAAGATATAGAAGTTTAATTGGCAAACTGTATTCAAAAATTATGCTTCAATAATGGTGAATGGCCTAACAGAAAAAAAAATAAGTATAACGCAAGGTACGAGACAGGGATGCCCCCTTTCCCCAATTTTGTTTGCAGTAGTGTTGGAAATACTAGTTTACAGGAAAATTGTAGAATAAATTTATTCACAGATGATACTCTTTTAATGGTTGAAAACCTAAGACAACAATGGGAAAAACCGAAGCTTATTTAACAGAGTTTGGAAGAATAATAGGCCTACAAATTAACTGGAACAAGTCAGAAATGTTATTATTCAAGTATCAGGAAGAAGAGGAAAAAATTAAAGCAGGAGGGAAAATGTATTGTCGAAGGCTTTCATAGCCGGAATCACCGGAACCCCACCTCCTCCAAGATGAACTGAACCACCTCAACTGGGCTCTACAGGCCAATGGAGACTCCACCTCAGACCTCAGAAGAGCTGCAAGACCAAGAACAAGCCACGAGAGTAAAGCGAAGATTCACCCAGAGGAAAAGTGTTCCTGCCATACATCAAGGGAACCACTGACCGCATAGGAAACATAATATAGAAACCATCTGCAGAACCACCAAGAAAATCCAACAAATGCTACATTCAGCAAAGGACAAGAGGGATCCTCTCACCTCTGCAGGAATCTACCGTATACCATGTAACTGTGGACTACATAGGGACCACAAACGCAGCGCCCAAAGACAAATCAACAAACATGAAAGGCACTGCAGACTAGTTCAACCAGGGAAGTCAGCCATGGCAGAGCACTTGATGAACCAACCTGGACACAACTTATTATTTGGGAACACAGAAATGCTGGACCCTCTAACAACCACCATGTCAGACTACACAGAGAAGGCATTAAAATCCACAAGCATGTGGACAATTTCAACAGAAAGGAGGAAACCATGAAAATGAACAAAATCTGGCTACCAATATTAAAAGAACTCTAAAATTACAACAGCAAAACAACAGAGAGTAAACAATCAGGCACATCTAATCACCTCTCAACAAAAGATTTCCCCAGGCACTGCCAAGCCATCAAATGCTAATTAAGGTGGTCAGTTGAAACATTCACACCTAGCTCCAGCAGACAAGAGTCCTTTGTCTCACCCTGGTCATTCCACAGATATATAAACCCTTTTTCCTAGTTCCAATAGACCTCACTACCTCTGAGGATGCTTGCCATAGATGCAGGCGAAACGTCAGGAGAAAATGCCTCTAGAACATGGCCATATAGCCCGGAAAAACCTACAACAACCCAGGAGGGAAAATATCTAGGAATAAACATATTTAAAGAATTAGAGAATTTAAGAGATAAATAATTTTACTAAACTAAGAAAGGAAATGAATATAAAACTGTTAGAACATGCTGAACTTAAGCTATCATGGTTTGGTTGGATAGGATTGATTAAAGGCTCCTCCCTAAACTACAAAACCCAGAATTCTGCAGGAGGCAGAAACCAGATTTGAAGTGGATTATTTCTCTAGTGTGACAAGGCCCTATGCTTGGAATTATGTGTTCCTGAATAATAATAAAAAATATTTTTAAAAGGATATATCCTGAAAGCTGCATCACAATCTCTCTCTCTCTCTCTCTCTCTCTCATTCTTTCTTATTCTCTGCCTCCCTCCCCCTTTCTCAGCATGTCCGAACCAGATATGACATATTTCACTCATAAGGGGATCTTGTTCACCCCTGTGGGAACTTCAGTGGAAATACTGAATTATGTGGAAAATGAATTCCAGTTGTTTGATGATGATGTTATGACTGTCACATATCCAAAGTCAGGTCAGTAATATAGTTGAGCATTTTTGTACTATACCATGTGTAGGGGCCTCTTTATAGGATACTGCATGTTGTTTTTGTTGAAAATTGCAATCTTCTTCAAGCCTGCTCTAGTAATTTGCTAATCTGTTATTCTGTTTGCTTAATGTTTTGTATGTATGTTCTCGTATGAAGCTTCTTTTGCTCTATGTTTCCTGGGTGGTTGTGGGAGGGTTGGCAAACCACATGATCTGAGACTCCATTTTAGATTCTTCTTAGACTTTGGACTGCTAAGAGCAAACATTTGCTTTATATTTGTAAGAAAGATGCCCTTTCTCAGTTGTGTTAATTTGAGAAACTATCTCAAACATATTGGAAACTGGACTAATAAGCTATGCAGCTATGTTATGCTTAACACATGAAATTGCGAGTCAACTAAATATGTTATTTTACTAAAGCCGTCTTCATTTTTGTCTCTTCAGTACATGATATAAAACTATTTATTTGAAAGAAGAGTAGGTATTCTTTGGAGCACCGAAAAACACTTCTGAAACTCTGCTATTTTTGTGCATTGGCATATTCTGTTTTCCTAACAGATCAGAGACAATAGGTTCAGTCTAACAATTGAAGACATTGCCTTGCTTATTACATTTGGTTGTATACCATATGAGAAGATTCTATTCAAATGGATTTTTGGCTCTTCTCTGAAAGATCTAACTTTTCCAAAAGGTTATGATCTCTAAATGGTTATGAATGCCATTTTCCAAAAGTTTCACTAACTTCAAAGGGAAGCTCATAATCACATTCAACAACAACAAAATTGATGCCACCTCAATTGATGCTGTACAACTGGAGTGTTATGCTTTTTCAGGTTATTTTTTTTACTCATGGAGATACTAAAATGAACCTATCATTGGGTTCTCTTGGCAAGAATTGTTCAGAGGGAGGTTATTAGAGAGAAAACATGATTTGCCATCAGTGGGTTTTGTGGTTAAGTGGAGTTTAAACCTTGGTCTCCCAGAGTTCTAGTCCAACATTTAATCCACTACACCATGCTAGCTTTCTTTTCCCACGTAATATATCCTGCCACAATGTAGTGAATTTGTGCTTGTGGAGCATTCTACAAATGCAATAGGAATTACTGTATATACTCAAGTATAAGCCTAGATTTCAGCCCCTTTTTAGGCTGAAAAAGTCCCCCTCAGTTTATAATTGAGTCAAGGTTATTATTATTTTACTCTGTTGTTGTTGTTGTTGTTGTTATTTTACTCTGTTGTTGTTGTTGTTGTTATTATTATTATTATTATTTTACTCTATTTATTCTTATTATTATTACATTTACCATTTTGCTCTATTATTATTACATTTATTATTTTACTTTACTACTGTTGTTACAATTACATTTATTATTTTACACTATTATTGTTATTATTACATTTATTATTTTACCTTCTTTAATACTATTGGAAGGATCCGTAAGCACATTTACATTGAAGAAGGTTAGAATAATGGCTTAATCAGAGTTGGGCAGGCATATCTTAAAAGACAGTTTTATGTATGATGTCTCAATTAATGTAATTGTGTTGGTATCTACTTTTAATTTGAAATTTACCAGTAGCTGCTACATTTCCCACCCTCGACTTTTACTTGAGTCAATCCGTTTTCCCAGTTCATTTGTGGTAAAATTAGGTGCCTCAGCTTATATTCGGGTTGGCTTATACTTGAGTATATACGTTAAATAAAATGTTCTAATTAATGAGGGATTGTGAGCGCATTAGAAAGTAAGGAGCAGTGAGACTATGAAGTCAGTAGGAACAGTGAATAAATAAATGTTGAACAACAATTTGAAATGTTGTTTCATCTTGTGACAGAGATAAAGAAATCATTGGCTAATTGTTAGGCTGTCTCATAACAGAATTGATTTTCTGGTAGTCCAGTGCTTAAACTGCTATTAATATTCTGGGTTCAGGACAAAAGAAAGAAAGAAACAAAGGGCGGGGGGGGGGGGGGAAGAAAATAAAAGCAGAAGAAAAAATAAATTACATTTTCAGACTGCTTAATGAATCATAAACCACTTTTGACTATAGAGTGTCTCACCTTTGTTGTTGAAACATGGAGATTTATGGCTAATATGATAGATTTTCTGCATTTGTAAATTCAATTCCCCATAATACATGGAATCTATTTGTTTTAGTTGACAAATTCCATGCCTATGATCTCTCAGTCATTAAGGAAAGACTTTCTGTTAAATCATCTGTAGAATAAAATACTGCTTTAAAAAATTGAGAACAAAGACCAGCTAGTCCAAGACTGTTCTTGAATCTCAGAAATAACCAAGAAGTCAACCAGAAGTTGACAAGTAATTCATTAACTAACCATAGTCAAACAGATCTGCAAAATAAGTAGTTATAAATAAAAGGTTTCATTCTAATTAATTATGTGAAAATGAAGGTAAGTAAGGTTGTTTGGAATTAAGTAGAACACATTGGGTAAGACGCGCATAGCTTTTGACCACTGGACTCCCCTCAGGTACCAATTGGATGTTGGAGATCTTGGGTTTGATCCAACATGGTGGGGATCCATCATGGGTTCGCAGTACCCCAGTATGGGATCGATGCCCATGGATTGAGGCTCATGGCTGCYACCAAAAAGCCTTGAAAGACCTTCCACCCAGGCTTCTCACTTCTCACCTGCCATTCCAGCTGTTCCCTAAATCTTTTATTCACTCCAAGGCCAAGGTAAGAACCCCCCCCCCATAAATGTTCCTTTTGTCACAAATCACAAAAAGGAAGTGTCAAATTTTGTACTCACACTGTCTGTTTAAAGTTAGATGATATACTAAACCRCAAAGAATCATAAAGGGAACTCCAGAATGATGTTTTGATCATGGTTCTGGTTCCAGGAGATCATGAAGTAGTCAAAAGAAACAACAACAAAAAAGCAGCAGAAATTAAACATATTTTATACTTCACAAAATTGAATCACATATCATTCCATGCACCAAATGAACACTGGACCTACCCTCTTCTTTAAATGTAACCTTTCTGTTCCTTACAGATTATCTATGTCTTACGTAACCCTAAAGATGTGCTAGTTTCAAGCTACCACTTTTCCAAGTTCTTTAAAGGTTTCCAGGATCCTGGGGCTATGGAAGAATATTTGGAAAAATTCCTGAGAGGAAATGGTGAGAAAAGAGATAAGCAGGCTGTTTCCATCAGCATCGGTTGCAGTCAAATTCATAATGAGAGGCAGAAGTCAACCCCCGAGGTGCAGGACCCATGGCAGTAACTTTTGTGTGTCTCTCATTTTGTCTTTGAATGAATATAGAATCAACAATTATCAGAATGCAAACTTTTTCCATTCCTGCTTTTAATGCTCCCCAAAAGTTTTTAAGTTTTAAGCTTTTAATGCTCCCCACCCCCAATAGCGCAGTGGGTTAAAGCGCTGAGCTGCTGAACTTGGTGACCGAAAAGTCACCAGTTCGAATCTGGGGAGCGGGCTGATCTCCTGTTGTTAGCCCCAGCTTCTGCCAACCTAGCAGTTTGAAAACATGCAAATGTGAGTAGATCAATAGTACAAGCACATGACCTTGGAAGTGTCTACGGACAACACCGGCTCTTCGACTTAGAAACGGAGATGAGTACCAACCCTCAGAGTTGGACACAACTGGACTTAATGTCAGGGGAAAACCTTTCCCTTTTACCTAAAAGTTGCCAAAGTTGCAAACTACTTTGAATACATTTGAGCTCTGCTTTCGATTGGACACTAAATGGCTTGCAACACTGGCAGTCAGCAGAATATGTTTTCAAAAAGGTATGATAAAGGAGGAGTTGGGTCTCCAGACAATTTAGGGAAGCTATATCCACCCTTCAAAGTGCCAGAATTTTAAACAGCCCACAACCCTGACAGGATCAAACACACAATCAATTTATTTTTCTTCTATAAGCAATACTCTCTAATGCTCTCAAGGTTTCCCTCCTCTTTGTAGAGAAAGGGAGTGAAGGGCACTACGAGGCCTGGAAGATTTAGAAGGGCCCCTGGTGTCTGGCAACTTTGGCCTTCTCCAAGCCAACTGTCAATGGGATGAAACTGAATGGTGTTGGGATGACATCAAGAGATCACCAAAGGACAGCCTATACTTTTAAAGAGAATGGGAAAAAGAAGTCATTGCTGTTATATCTAAGCAGATGTGGCAGGAACTCATCTTCCTTTTGGTTAGGATAGGGATTTGGAGAGATGGATAGGTTTGTGGAGAGCTCCCAAGGGAAACAATCAGTGGCCAAGACTCCTGTACTTGGCAAGCAAGAAGAAGTCCTCAGGCTATTGGTTCTCTTCCATTACACTAGTGGCATAAAGAAATTACAGATTTTCTTTTCCATCCCAGCACTATAATACCTTCTCAAATATTTGCATTCCACCTTCTTTCTTGCTCTCCAGTTGCATATGGTTCCTGGTTTGACCATGTGAGAGGTTGGATGGAGTTGAAACACAGACCAAACTTCTTCTTATTCACCTATGAAGACCTACAGAAGGTATGATATGGTCTCAGGGTATATCAACTCTACTCCTCCCTCTTTCAAAAAGGTATTAAAAACACATATATGCAATTTAGCTTACAGAGAGGACTATGTACATCTATTTGCACCTTACCGAGTTGCTAGCAGCCACCCTGGTAACCTGCTGTTTTCAATGACACCCACAACAATTTTAGCCTAATTTTAGAGATTTTAAATGACATTTTAAGGATTTAATATGTTGGTACTTATGTTATGTCTTGTTCATTTATGTTGTTTTATAATTTATTGAGTAGTTCTTGATTTATTTATTGATTTCATTATATATTATTGCTGGCATTCAATGTTTGCTATTGTGTATTTTGTTGTGAGCCACCCTGAGTCTCTTCGGGGAGATAGGGCGAGCTATAAATAAAGTTTCATTTCCGTTTCATTTCATTTTTAGAAAAACAGTACATCATTTTTTCAATTTTATTAGCAAAATGGAAGTGAAACCAACCTTTTAAAAGAGATCTCTCTCTGTGTGTATATATGCATGCACACACACACACATACAAAATGGTGCTCCATGTAGTCATGCTGGCCACATGACCTTGGAGGTGTCTAGGACAATGCCGGCTCCTCGGCTTAGAAGTGGAGATGAGCACCAACCCCCAGAGTCGGACACAACTGGACTGTCAGGGGAAAACTTTTACCTTTACCTTACATACAATACTGCAATTTGTAGAGACATAACATAACTCATGAAAACTTTTCATTTATATTTTTAAATATATATATGATTTATTTCTTATTTCACACAGACTCATTATGTTCATGCAACATACCTACACACTGCAGCTGACACACTACTATGTTGTAACACATATTTTGGAATGCTCTGCTCTAAAGCATCAACATCTTTTGACTTTCAAGAATTCAACCAATGTAAAATATCTCTGGGCATATGTAAGCTTCCCTCATTTCACTTCTGACAATCCAATTTAAGGGCTCCTGTAATTAAGTACAGGCAGTCGCCAAGTTACAAACATCTGACTTACAAATGACTCCTGGTTACAAATGGAGGTGATACAACAGGAGAGAAATATATCTCTTGGAAGAGAAGTTCACTCCTGGAAGAGTTACCATGGGACAAAGGTGTCTCCACTGAACCTTTATCACCAATCCTTGTTTCTACAACAAGCCAATTTTTTTTTCCAAAATCCAATTCTCACAGGAACTGAAAGTGAATAGGGACACATACAGCAAAACAAACACTGCAGGGATGTTAACCCTTCCCTATCCAAGGTTTGCAGATGTGTGTGTGTGTGTGTGGAACCCCTGGTGGCACAGTGGGGTAAACCAAAAGGTCATAGGTTCAAATCGAGGGAGTGGCGTGAGCTTCCGCTGTCAGCCACAGCTTTTGCCAACCTAGCAGTTTAAAAACATGCAAATGTCAGTAGATCAATAGGTACCACTACGGCACGAAGGTAATAGCACTCCATGCAGTCATTCTGGCCACATGACCTTGGAGGTGTCTATGGACAATGMCGGCTCTTTGGGTTAGAAATGGAGATGAGCACCAACCCCCAGAATCGGACACGACTGGACTTAATGTCAGGGGAAAACCTTTACCTTTACTATGTATATGTATTTGTGTGTGTGCATGTGTGTATGTATGTATATGTGTGTATATATATATATGTCTGTGTGTATAATTGCAAGTTTGAAGCCCYGGGTTGGCAGGAGCTGCCAACTATCAGCCTAGCTCATATCAGCCTRKYTACCTAAKCAATTTGAAAACAGCTTTAGCTGTGATTAGAGAAATTAGGTACTGCTAAAAGCAGGGGAGGTGTTTTATGATGCCATAAAGAAAAAAAGATCAGAAAATGCTGGGTGACCAAAAGGAAGGTGGAAGTCCTGACGGCTCTTCATCATAAAAGATAGAGCAAGAGTATCCCCTGGACTTGAGCCCAACCTTCCATGGAACCAAAAGCTGCTGGACACTGAGTCGAAACAAAACAACCTTCTTCTGTTCTGTCTGTCTGTGTATTGTCTATACAAAGTGGCACTGAATGTTTGCGTGTATGCGTACTGTGATCCACCCTGTGTCCCCTTCAGGGTGAGAAGGGCAGAATATAAATAAAGTTTTATATATATAGTGGACCTCCCACCCCCCCCCCCGGTGCCCTTTACCTTTGTGTGTGTGTGTGTGTGTGTGTGTGTGTGTGTGTGTGAAGTTACACTCAAGAAAAGTATCTGTTCCAACTTACATACATATTCAACTTAGGAACAAATCTATCTTGGGGACTACCTGTCTGTATGTGTTAACAGTCTATCTTCTTTCCTATTTTTGGATGGATTTCTTGGGTTCCTTGTCCTGTAGTACATTTAAGGTAATTACTCCTGTTTCTACCAGAAACTCATGCTGCACTAACCCATAACATTTTAATAGTACAAATGTCAAATATTCCAAAATGTAATACTACAAGATGTTTATCCCACACATTGGGATTCCTTGTGAAGTTCAAGATTTTACATCTAAGATTAGTTATCCATGGGAGCAGTCCTTACTAAGACACAACCTGTGACAAAATGACAGGGAGGGTGCATTTGACTGAGAGGGAAGTTCTGTCTAATTTAGTTGTCCAGCAGTACCAAAAAAGATCAGATACATCCTGGCAGCACTTGAGCTGAAGCCCCCCCCCCCCCCTGTAAAAATTGTCTCTTTTCATCATTTGGCAAGAGGTGAATATCCCCATGGAGATGCAGTCTGAGGCTTAAGATTACAACTCTTTTTCAATTGTTTTTGCTATCCTTAGAATCTACCGGGCAATGTGGAGAAGCTCTCTCAGATCCTTGGAAAGAACCTGAACAGCCAGCAGATAAACGCTGTGGTAGAAAATGCCTCTTTCCATAAGATGAAGGATAACAACATGTCCAACTTCACTCAGTCACCACTTTTCGATCAGAGCACAGGAAAGTTCATGAGGAAAGGTAGATATACAGTTAAAGCTTACTAAACATTGTCAAAGCCTGGGACACAATTTATTTATTTATTTATTCCGGGCACTTCTACCCCGCCCATCWCAACACCTGAGGGGGGACTCAGGGCGGCTTACACCGGCACAATTTGATGCCAACAATTCAACAGATAAATTACATAACAGCAATAACCACAGTAATTAAAACAATCAATTAAAACAATAACAATTAAACGCCAATCTAGTGGCCAACGTTCACCGAGTTCTGATATCCGTAAGTCCATTCAGCACTACCACAATCCTTTCCAATTTCTGGTCATCATTATCTTGTCAGCCTGCCAGATTACCCAAAGGCCTGGTCCCATATCCATGTTTTCAGCTTCCTTCTGAAGGAGAGGAGGGTAGTTGATGACCTAATTTTCCCGGGGAGTGAATTCCACAGACGAGGGGCCACCACCAAGATGGCTCTGTCCCTCGTCCCCACCAGCCTCACTTGTGATAGAGGCAGGGCTGAGAGCAGGGCCTCCCCTGAAGATCTTAAACTCTGAGGTGGGACATAGAAGGAGATACATTCGGACAGGTACCACTTTGTACCTGAAGCCTGAAGTATAGTTTTGTGGGTGCTGAGAATACTATGTGACAGGCATGGTACTGCTTTTGGACTTCTTTCAAACTGCTTGCCTAATGCAATTACGTATTACAATTCAAAGATTTGTTGCAACATGAGAAAAAATAAGATATAATACATGCCCACTTTCCATGCCCCCTAGGTTGTATAATCTATTGGTCTTTGATCTCTTGCATCATGAGGTCATTTGCAGGCAACGTGCTTTCCTGACCTCATTGTTTGAAGGTATCTAGTTGAGATGCCGTAGGCCAAGAAAAGAAAGCAACATTGACAATGGCCCTGGATGATATCCCAGTCAAAGGGAAAGACCCATAAGTGATCAGTTAACAGCTCCTCTCCTCAATGACCACCTTATAGTTTTTCCCCTCACTTTACTTAATGGTAGGGCCAGTGTATCAGATGAGGCATGGTTGAGGATTGTATGAGAGAGAGATTACTTTTAAACACCTGTTTATATCACTTTTAATGTTATTTTGATAATGTTGTTGTTTGCTGTATATGTTTTGATTTTATTGCTGTATTATGTTGTCCAGGCTTGGCCCCATGTAAGCCGCTCCGAGTCCCCATCGGGGAGATGGTGGCGGGGTAGAAATAAAGATTATTATTATTATTATTATTATTATTATTATTATTATTATTTAATATGTGCAACCCAGTGCCATAAAACTGTCTTCAGTTCCACAAGATCTTCACTCTTCCCTTTCCTGGAGATCCTTTTCTTTAATAAGTAGACACAACTCTCAGTATTTTGAACTGAACTGAAACAACATGTATTTAAAGGTTTCTCAAGTTCATACCAGCTTGACGGTTATTGACATTATATCCTTATTGCCGCTACACTGAAATCTTCAGAAAACATGAAGCTGTTACTGTGAAACTTTTAACGATGTCTTATATTCTCTCTCCTGAATGTTATTTCTTTTCTTTTAAGACTTCATTTCCTTCCTCAGTCCCACTTTTATTGCTTGAGGTTTGACACTGAAGTCATAAATAAAACAACTAGAAATCTCTTTCTTCTAGCACCCAGGATAGAAATCTACTACACAGTTAAATACTCCTATTCTTATTTACTCAACACTGAAGATTAAACACTTGGCTCACTACCTAGAGCCACCTTTTTCTTCTGACCAAGCAGTTTAGGTCTCTACCTAGAGACCTAAACTGCTTGGTCTAGCTCCACACAACTAGAACCAACCATCCCTTGGCTCATCTAGCCACCAACTGACACTTTTTGAACTGTGTTCTTTTTCTTAGTGGCAGTTAACTCCGCCCCCTCCTCTTCTACCTGGAGGGCTATGTCGCTATGGTAACGCCCTAGCTCAGGCCACCCATCAGCTGGCCTGCACCTACATTACAATATCAATAAACATATGTAAAACCTTATATTATAATATCAATAAACATATGCAAAACCTACATTCTAATTAGACATTTTGTTATGGCTGGCTATTAGAGGGGCCTTCTTTTCACTGTGTTGATCTAATGTTCTGTGTGTATTCACTCTTCCTTTTTATGGTGTTCTAGGGATCTCTGGTGACTGGAAGAATCACCTGACGGTGACCCAGAATGAATACTTTGACCGTGTGTATCAGGAGAAAATGCAGGACATAAAAACAACCCTACAATGGGAGTGAAGAATGCCAGATGCTCTGTATGCAAACAGTCCTATCTCTCCGAGGTTTTGGGCATAATTATAGTAAATATAAGAAACCTACTGTAAAGTTTTTATTGCTGTAGAAGAATTACTCCAAGATGTCAACAAACAAAAGGAGGCACTATATTTTGAATAGTAGAAAAGCCTAAAGGTTAATGCTGTGCTATATTCTGAATGGGTAGCCGAAAGGGTTTTGGCTTTCAGTCTGCTGAGGTTAAATAGCTTGTCATCTGTCTGATAGATGATTTCCACTCTGGTGGGAAGCTTCCCATTAACAAGGTGAAATATCATAGCGATGAAGATGGAAAATAAAGTTGGGGCAATAACACATCCCTGTTTGACACCTGATTCCACCTTAAATGGGTCACTTTGGGAGCCATTGCTGTCCAATACTGTTGCCATCATGTCAAAACCAAGGTTACAACAACATCTATTATAGAACTCTAGTATGCGGATGACAACGTCATCTGTGCGCATTTAGATGAAGACCTACAAGCCACTCTAAACACCTTCTCAGAAGCATACGAGAAGCTTGGCCTGTCATTAAACATCGAGAAAACCAAAGTGCTCTTCCAGAAGTCACCAGCCAATCCCTCTCAAATACCAGAAATACAGTTTAATGGTGTAAAATTAGAAAATGTTGACCATTTCCACTACCTTGGCAGCCACCTCTCCACAAACGTCAACATTGACACTTAAATTCAACACTGCCTGAGCTCTGCGAGTGCAGCATTTTTCCAAATGAAGCACAGAGTGTTTGAGGACCGGGACATCCGTAGGGATACCAAGGTGCTTGTTTATAAAGCTATTGTCCTCCCAACCCTGCTATATGCCTGTGAGACGTGGACTGTCTACAGACGTCACATGCAACTCCTGGAACGATTCCATCAGCGCTGCCTCTGGAAAATCCTGCAAATCTCTTGGGAAGACAAGCAGACAAATGTCAGCATGCTGGAAGAAGCAAAGACCACCAGCATTGAAGCGATGGTCCTCCGCCATCAACTCCACTGGACTGGCCATGTTGTCCGGATGCCTGACCACCATCTCCCAAAGCAGTTGCTCTATTATGAACTCAAGAATGGAAAACGGAATGTTGGAGGGCAGGAAAAGAGATTTAAAGATGGGCTCAAAGCCAACCTTAAAAACTCTGGCATAGACACTGAGAACTGGGAAGCCCTGGCCCTTGAGAACTCCAGTTGGAGGTCAGCTGTGACCAGCAGTGCTGTAGAATTTGAAGAGACATGAATGGAGGGTGAAAGAGAGAAATGTGCCAAGAGGAAGGCGCGTCAAGCCAACCCCGACCGGGACCGCCTTCCACCTGCAAACCAATGCCCTCACTGCAGGAGAAGATGCAGATCAAGAATAGGGCTCCACGGTTACCTATGGACCCACTGCCAGAACACCGAACTTGGAGGACCATCATCCTTGGACTACGAGGGATCGCCTAAGTAAGTAAGCCTAAAGGGTTAGCACGGTTCCATCATTTATCAGTGATATATCATAGATTGAAACTACTGTTGAAATCCTGCATCAAAAGATGGGATGTGAAACTCTAAACCTTGTCTTCCATCTCTCCTTCCTCAAAACCCAGTTTTTTCATCCTGCCCAACTCTTCCTTGATGTGCCATGGGCTGCTGCTGTAGAAAGATGCTGGCTGATGCCTCTGGGTACAAATCAAATGACAATATCATCCATTGAAATCATGCAGAAGATGCCCAGCAACCTCTCTAGAGCTGTTTAATTATCACCTTGGATATTCACAGATTAAATAAAATTGAAATCACAACATTTATTTCATTTTTGTTGTTAAAGATCATTGTCTCATTCTGCCCAGTCCCATTGTCTTTTCTTCTACACTGCTATGTCATGCAGCTTCAGGATGCAGACTAACTGCATTGAGCTGGATTAGATGAGTCTACACAGCATTCTGAAATGTAGATCTGGCCAGTAATTCAGTTTCACTAGGAAACAAGATTAAACCGACTTCTTATAAAAGATGCATAAAAGGTAAAAGAATAAAGCACTGTGAACCCAAATGACTATGCCAAAGGGATTCCTAAGATCATCAGAATTATGTTTTCTGATGGTCTTTGGCGACCACTCTGAAACCCCCCTCGCAACCCCCACAGGGTCCCTACCCCCAGGTTGAGAAACACTGCTTTAGTGGGAAATAGCTTTTCCCCACAAAAATCACACCTATGTGGCCAGGATAGTGGAAGAATTAGTGTTAAAAATGCTGCGGCATAACAACTAGAAAAGTGTGAGATGACAGGAGGGCGACTTAGGCACAGGAAATACAGTAGAGAAAGGGGGGTTTGCACGTTCAGCTGAGACAGATTAAAGAGAGAATGAACATATAGCCCAGAGAGAGAGAGAGATAAGCTCAGTTTTGGTAGCTCTTTCTGTCTCAATTCTTTGAAACCAACAGCTCTGGGCCAGCAAACCTCAGACCAGCAGCAAACATCACACTCTTTGGTTCCCAGCAGCCTCTTTCCAAAGCGGTCTTTCTGCAAGAAGATTCAGGTAAGGATGGCAATACCTTGTGGGCTCATGAAGGCTTCCTTAAGTTTTAAAAAATGGATTTTGAAAGAGAGAATTTGAAGATACTGAGGAGTTTTATTAGTATTCTCACCCGCTCCCATAAGCATTACCTATATCTTCATAATAGCAGACCTCATGTTCAGCTGTTGCCTGGCCGGAACGTGAGGCAAAAGAAGCCTCTTGGATCAAATCCATACTGTAGAATTAATGCAGTTCAGCCACTTTATCTGTCACAGTTCAGTGCTATAACATACTGGGTATTGTAGTTTGGTGAGGCTCAAGCATTATTTGGCAAATAAGGTTAAAGACCTTGTTAAACTACATTTCTCTCTCTTTAAATAATCTCTATTGTCTTATGTGAAAATAGAATACAACAACATTCAACAATCAAAGTACAAATATTATTTCCCCAATCCCATCCCCATCCCATTCCCACCCATGAACCGCCACACACGACTCCCAACACTGCACCAAATGGAACTAAGGTAAAGGTAAAAGTTTCCCCTTGACATTAAGTTTAGTGGTGTCTGACTCGGGGGGGGGGGGGGGGGTGTGTTGCTCATCTCAATTTCTAAGCTGAAGAGCCTTGTCCATAGACTCCTCCAAGGTCATAACGCTGGCATGGAGCACCGTTACCTTCCTGCTGAAGTGGTACCTATTGATCTACTTACATTTTGCATGTTTTCGAACTGTTAGGTTGGCAGAAGCTGGGGCTAACAGTGGGAGCTCACCTCACTCCCCAGAATTGAACCGCCAAGCTTTTGGTCAGCAAGTTTAGCAGCTCAGCAGTTTAACCCAATGTGCCCCCGGGGGCTCCACTAGTGCCCCCGGAACCAGTATATAACAAAAATCTATCCTTATCATTACACTAATAGATTCCAGGTGTGGCTATTCTCTCAAAATCTCTTTTTGTCTTCTTTTTTAAATACCCAAAGACAAGTCTCCATTTTCTAGCAAAATCTTCATTGTTTCTTCCCCTTATGCCTTTGGAGAATTTGGCCATTTGGATATACTCGACTAATTTTCTTCTCCAATCCTTGATGAGTACCCCCTCCCCCTTCTGAGGTTTTCCTGTTGTAATTCTCCCACAGAACTATACTGGCAAATTTCTACATCTTCTTTAGGGATTCCCTCCTAAAAATACCCCAATAGGCACATTTCTGGGTTTTTATTAACCTTTTATGGAAATCATTTTATTAGTTTCTTTAGTCAGCTTTTTCTAAATAATTTTGGTGCCCAACAGGTTCACCAAACATGGAGGAAGGCGCCTTTCTGTATTTTGCATCTCCAATATTCCCCAGTTGAGTTTAATTTAATTAAAATTATTTAAAAAAAATAATTTTAGCCATTAATTTAGAGTTATATAACTTCTATAGAACATTTTGTACATATTTTCTCAAATTCTTAAATTTATTTCATGTCAAAAACATTGCATATATAAGTATAAAATTGATAAAATAGGGGAAACACAAGCGACTAAATAATTTTAGACCAAAAATGGACAACAGCAACTACATTGTCTGTAGCATTAAATAACCCTTTTTCTGTGCATAAGGCAAAGCATACAGATGCAGAGTTGTTTGTTCTGCTCCACAGTCACACAAGGTGGAGGAAATGAACCCAGCTGTTGATAATTTAAATCCTTTTTTCCTTAAGTATTCCCAATTGTCCAAATCTATATCTTTCCCTAAATCTCTAGCCCAGGAAATCACCATTGTTTTTATTTGATTACCTTCCATATCTCAGTGCCATGATTGCATAACATTAAGACATGGCAGTTCAAGTGATGTCAAAGTGCATTAATTCTACAATGTAGATGCATCCTTAGATCAGACAAAAGATTAGGAAGCAATCCGTTTCAGTGGAGCCTATGCCTCCACTGATGTTGTACTCTTACTTGCATCTCTTGTGGACATTGCTTGAATCTATCACAAGATTTTAATGACTAGCATATGTCTCTGTTTATCACTTTAGTAATAAAAGTAGTGCCTATTGGGCATATAGGAGCCATTCCTGAATGTCTTCTGTAGCTCATTTTATTTATTTATTTATTTATTTATTTATTTATTTATTTATTTACTCTATTAGTGAAAAGGCCATTATATATTAGTAGTAGTCATTGTCATATGCATTCACTTTTTGCAGTACTAATGAGGAAACTGATCCTTGACTAGATGAAACATTCACACCTAGCTCCAACAGACAAGAGTTCTTTGTCCCACCCTGGTCATTCCACAGATATAT